TATTCTCCAAACGAAGCTCAAATAGATTTCTTGAAAGAAGTTCTTCTTCAGTTGGAACCTTTCCAGGAAGGGCACACTGTGATAGGTGGTGATCTTAATTACGTAGCTGATGCAGTATTGGATAGGTCAAACTACAAAGATAAGCTACATACAGGGACGAAGCCTACGAAACTGATGTCTCTTCTCAAATCCTTTAAACTTATAGATGCCTGGAGAATACAGCACCCTACAGAACGGGACTACTCTTTTTATTCGGCAACACATAAAGTTCACACGAGGATTGACTACATACTAGTTTCTACTTCTTTACAGCAACATATCCAATCGACAGATATAGGTCCAAGACATCTAACGGATCATGCATGGTTGAGTTGCCTGATCTCAGACACAGAAGACGACACAATAGACAAACAATGGTCTATGGACATCTCCATTTTATTGAGGGACACAATTACAACACGTTTAAATATGGAAGTTGAAAATTTCCTGAAGATACATAAGGGGACGGAGACCGATCCAGCGATTCAATGGGATGCTTTGAAAGCTGTACTACGAGGTGTCATAATTTCAGAATCCACATATCTGAAAAGGGAAACACAAAAATTGAAATTGAAAACTCTGTCTAACATCACCTCTTTGGAAAACGAATATAAGAGGACAGGCCGAAAGACGACTTATTCAAAACTACAAGCAGAACGGAAGGTTTTAGAAACTTTAGAAACTAAAACCATACAAAAGAATCTCCTAATTCTGAAACAAAAATTTTGGCAGAAGTCGGCTAAAAATTTGAAATTGCTGGCGTGGAGGGTAAAAGACAAAAAGAAAAATTCAGTTATTGGCTCCATAAAGGCAGAAAATGGAACTCCTCTAACTGCATCAAAGGACATAGCGAATGCCTTCGCGGTGTTCTACAAAAAACTCTATACATCTTCGCACCCGTTATCCGGAAACATTGAAAACTTCCTAAACACTGTTCCATCTCTTAACTCCTTATCTCCTGAACAGAGAGAAATGTTAGACAATCCGATCACACAAGAGGAAGTGGTGAAAGCTATACGGCAAGCAAAGGGGAACAAAGCCCCAGGGATCGATGGGCTGCCAGCGGAACTATATAAATCTCTCCAATCAACAATTGTGGACCCCCTTCTGGAAATATGCAACGCGGCACTACAAGGCAAAGATCTACCACCCTCATGGTATGAATCCTCCATCGTTGTGATTCCCAAAAAAGGGAAAGACCCAACAGATCCCGCATCTTTCCGACCAATAGCTCTTATTAATAACGATGCAAAAAAATTTTCTACGATACTTGCTAACCGCTTAAAGACGGTCATTACAGCTCTAATACATCCAGACCAAACGGGCTTCATCCCGGGAAGACAAATAACAGATAACATCAGACGCTCACTGAATATAATTTTGAATGGCAAAAAGTCCAAAAAAGATACGATCATCCTGGCCCTGGACTTTGAGAAAGCGTTTGATTCCGTTGAAATTAATTACCTCATGTTGCTCCTCAAACGGATTGGATTCGGAAAACACTTTCTTCAAGCACTGAACGCCATATACAAGCACCCAAAATCCAGAGTGAGAGTCAATGGAAACAATTCGGCCTTTTTTACACCCACTAAAGGAACAAGACAAGGCTGCCCGCTTTCGCCTCTCATCTTTGCTCTAGCAATAGAGCCGTTGGCAGAGCGTCTTAGATACAATCAAACCTTCAGAGGTCCCATAATCGGAAAATCGGAACACAAGCTCACCATGTATGCGGATGATATGACCCTCTACGTTGAAGATCCGGAAAAATCCATCCCAGCGATTGAAAGTGACATCGAGGACTTCGGTAGCATCTCAGGCCTTCACCTAAACGAAAATAAATCAGAGATATATCCCATCAAACTCTCCGCTGCCTCGAAAGAGGCCATACAAAAGAGATACAAATATAGGTGGATAACGACAAGCTGGAAGCATCTGGGAGTACAAATACCCCTACATCTAAATTCTCTCTTGGATTGCAATTACAATACTCTATATAAAGAAATCAAAGAGAAAATGAAGGGCTGGAATGAAATACAATTATCTCTCGCTGACAGGCTTCAATTAATTCAAAGCTTCATCTTCCCATGCTTTCTGTTTCTATTCCGGGCTCTCCCCATCTCGATAGAAGAGAAAACTCTGGTGATATGGCAACGTACACTTACTAACTTCCTTTGGAACTCTCCGAAGTCACGAATCTGTCATCGTCATCTGGCTAAACCTACGTACCTGGGCGGGCTGGGTCTGCCATCACTACATCTATACCATAAAGCTGCAATTCTCTCGCAGGTTCCAGTGATGCTCCAACATGACACGAACATAGCATGGATTCAGATAGAGCAATCTACCGTCTTCCCACTCTCCTTGCCAGAAATCATCTGGATGGATAAAAAGAATAGACCAGATTCCATACATCAAAACATCTTTTTAGAGACAACGCTGAAAATCTGGGACAGATACCGGCCATCTCTGGCACCTGAACTTTCCCCTTTGTCGGTATTCACCAAACAAGCATGGTTCCCACCCGGTATGGAACCGAATGCGTATGCTGAATGGAATAAAGGAGGCTTCTATAAGTTAATTGATCTAGCTCCAAAAGGTTCTCTCCTCCCGAAAACTCACTACGAAGAAAAGCTACAAACAACAATATCATGGTTAAAATATTACCAACTGAGGAGTTTGATTGAATGGGCGTCAGATAAAAAAGTCTTTTCAAGACCAAAAACAAGTTTCGAGCGAACACTGATAATTTTTGCAGATCGAAAAAAGGGCCTACTCTCCATCTTGTATAAATCGCTTATGGAGGAAGAGAAGACACACAGAGAAGCAAATAAGAAGGCATGGAATAAGGACTTGCAGATAAATCTGACAGATGCACAGTGGCTGAACATTTGGGACTCTACGGCATGCAAATCAAGTATTTTTGCCATCCGATTACAATTTTTTAAAACACACACAAGATGGTATCTATCGCCAAAAAGATTACATCACATGCACTCAAATTACAGTCCTCTTTGCTGGAAAGGATGTGGAGAACAAAGTGATTCTTTACATTGTTGGTGGTCATGCCCCAAGATTCAATCCTTCTGGGATGATGTAGTGAACGAAATATTCCAGATCACATCACAAAGACTGCCAATGGACCCCACGGTACTTCTGCTTCACTTAATGGATGACACCCAGCCTCAGACAGAAATATCCAATCTCACATCAACGCTATTGGCCACGGCCAGATTATCTATAGCTTCCAAATGGAAGGCCCCGGATGTGCCAACTATCACTCAATGGAGAGAAAAAACTTGGGAGCATTTCATTATGGCACGTATTGCTCAAACTGTTGCTGATAAAACTCAAAAATCCACCACTTCACACGCTAAATTTGTAAGTACTTGGTTCAGCTATTTACAATATATGACTGACAGAGAACTTCTTCCAGCTAATCCGGCATACACTAATTGGCTTCACTTTGCTTGATATGTTTCATACGGAGATACAATTTTAGATATGATCTCCTGTATTATTCTGGGATATTGTGCATCTTGTTCTTACACCTCTTTGATCTGTATTTAAACAAGTTACCGTTACGGTTGCAGTATTTGTATTATTGGAAAATAGAAAAATGGCTGTTATATATGTTCTTTGATAATATTATACTTAATAAAAATTATTTAAAAAAAGAAAAAAAGAAAATACGAACGCAGGCATAGTGTATTTATTGCCTGACTGGCTTCTATTATAGCCTACTTTTCTCCGTGAGTGGGAACTCAAAGTGGCTTACCACATTCTCTCTTCACCATTTTATGCTCACATCCACCCTGCGAGGTAGATCCAGACGGGTAGCCGTGTTAGTCCGTAGCAGGAGAAAAGAGCCAGAGTCCAGGAGCACCTTCAAGACAAACAAAATTTGTGGCAGGGGAGGAGCTTTCGTGAGTCACTGCCGCAAATCTGGTTCGTCTGTAAGGTGTTCCTGGCCTCCCGTGAGGGAGTTTAGGCTGAGAGGGTGACTGGCTCAAGGTCGCCCAGCCGGCTTCCATGGTAGAGTAAGGATTCGTACCTGGGTGTCTCAGATGCTAGTCCAGCTCTGTAACCATTACACCACCCTGGCTTCCTCCTAGTTTGGATCATGCCTGTGTTCTCCAGTTCAGTGTGGGTTAAATTTTTGAACCCGTATAGAAGGGAAACTGAAACCGATCATAGCTAGCACCACCGTTTTGTTGAAATAATCACAGACTAGAATAGGAGCAGAGCGAAGTCTGATGATCTTTCAGTTTCTCTTTTTTCTAATTCCTAAGTCTCCTGTCCATTCAGAGACGGCTTTAGTTCTATTTATTTATTTTATATCTTGCCTTTCACCCCAATGGGGACCCAAAACAGATTACGTTATTCTCCTCTGTTTTATCCGCACAGCAACCCTGTGAGGTAGGCTAGGCTGAGAGAGCGTGACTGGCCCAAGGTCACCCAGCCAGCTTCCATGGCACGAGTCGGGATTCGAACCTGGATTTCCCAGACCCTAGTGAGTCCAACACTTTTAACTGCTACACCACACTGGCTCTCTAAGTAGAGAAAGGAAAACTATGGCGTAATGGATCAACTGAGCCGGTGACTTTTATTAGGGATAATTTTTTCCCCTACGCTAATGATCTTGTTGCCTTAAACAGGTATGTTTGTTTGAAGTTTGGGGTTGTGGGTTTTTTTGGGCTAGGAATCTTTGCTGTTAGATTCAAATGTTATATTTTGTAATCCACCCACTGATTAACTGGAAAGGTGGTTTTTTACAATAATGCTTGTAATCCACCTGGTCTATAAATGATAAGAAAATAATAATAATTAATAATATAATATGTGCCTTCTGGCTTAACTCAGTACATTAAAACCTAATTTTTGCATGTCAAAATGGTGGTTATCCATCTTGAGCGTAAGAGATCGCTGGGAAAGACCCTCGTTTGTTTTCTCCTCTGTTACAGATATTCAGCTACATGAATCACATTGGCCGGATAGCAATAATTTTATCTAGGTAAGTGGAACATGCAGGCTGTGGAAGGTTGGTAGTTCAGCAGTTCGAGACTCGAGTTGCCGCGTGACACGGAGTGAGCTCCCGTCTCTGGCCCCAGCTCCTGCCAACCTAGCAGTTCGAAAGCAAGAAATTGCAAGTAGATCAATAGGTACCACTTCGGTGGGAAGGGAACAGCGTTCCGTGCACCCTGGTGTTTAGTCATGTCGGCCACCTGACCACGGAAACGTCTTCGGACAGCGCTGGCTCTTCGGCTTTGAAACGGAGATGAGCACCGCAACCCTAGAGTCGGATTCAACTGGCTTTCGAGCAAGGGAACCTTTACCTTAAGTGGAACATGCCCTGACCTGGGTGGAGCAGGCTAGCCCGGTCTCTCCAGATCTCAGAAGCTGAGCAGGGTCAGCCCTGGTCAGTACTCAGATGGGAGACCCCCCAAGGAAGTCCAAGGTTGCTACGCAGAGGCAGGCGACGGCATAACCACCTCTGAATGTCGCTTGCCTTGGAAACCCCGTGGGGTTGCCATACGTCGGCTGTGACTTGATGGCAAAAGCCCCCCCAAAAAATCCAGGAATAATCTGGAATAGAATGCCAGTTTTTACAAAAAGATAAGCTTGCTTACTGAAGGCAAAGGCAGCGTGTATTTAAAACTAAAATCTACTGTGAAAATCACTGAACACACTTGGTTGGGTACGGCTCCCACGTAAACCCACGTGAAAGGAACGGGAGCTGCCCAGGTGGGTGGCTGTTCTCTGCGGGCTGCGGCAAGCGCACGTCGTTTCACATCCACCCTGCGAGGTAGACCCAGACGGGTAGCCGTGTTAGTCTGCAGCAGGAGAAAAGAGCAAGAGCCCAGGAGCACCTTCAAGACCAACATTATTTGTGGCAGGGGAGGAGCTCTCATGAGTCACTGCCACAAATCTGGTTCGTCTGTAAGATGCTCCTGGCCTCCCTTGAGAGGAGAGGCTGAGAGCGTGACTGAATGCTGGGCCTTGCAGGGTGAATGTTCTGGCTGGCCGGAATGTAGCGGAGTCTTTGTAGGAATCTGGGGATACGGAACTGTCTGCCTTGCCCATTAGGGTTGTCCTCCCAAGCGCTGCTCTCCATGGCCCTGCTGCCGGAGGTGATGCCTTCCCCCTTGAGGTCTGCCTGACTACCCACCTCCCTTGCTCTTTTAAAGAGCCAGTTTGGTGTCGTGGTGAAGTGCGCGGACTCTAATCTGGGAGAACCGGGTTTGATTCCCCACTCCTCCGCTCACACCTGCTGGATGACCTTGGGCAAGCTGTAGTTCTGACAAGAGCTGTCCTTGAAAAAGAGCCGTTTCTGTCAGAGCTCTCTCAGCCCCACCTACCTCACAGGGGTGTCTGTTGTGGGGAGGGGAAAGGGAAAGGAGTTTGTAAGCCACTCTGAGACTCCTTTGGGTAGTGAAGGGTGGGGTATAAATCCAATCTCCTCTTCTTCTCTTTTTTAGGTGCCAAACCAAAACATTTATTTTACCCACATCTTTAATTGAGGGGTTTAATCTTTTAAAGCTGTTTTTATGGTCTGCTTTTAGCCTGATCACCGTTACAAAACATACTTGTTTTTAATACTGGCGATTCTTGTGTTGTTGATTTTACTCTTCTACAACACTGTGGCAGACCTGCTTTTGGCGATGCTTAGAGTGCCTGCTGTACAGCTGGCCGGAGGCGGTATTGCAGCCCCCTGTTCTAGAATTGTGGGGTGACACAAAAAGAGCAAAAGGCCTATATAAGCCCTGAGGGCCCAGCTTGACTGGAAAAACAAGTTGTTTTTAAACTGTGTGTGCTTGTGTGTCATTTGCTGTGCGGGAGAAGTCGTAGCTCAGTGGTAAAATGCATAGGTTCCATGCAGAAGACCTCCAAGTTCAATCCCAAACATCCCCAGTTGAGGGGGAAAAACACATCTGGAGAAGCCCTTTGACTGAGACTTTGGAGGGTCACTGCCCGGGAGAATGGACTATTCTGGTGGTCTGAGATGGTGCAGTGCAGCCATACGTCCTGGTGAATTGTTTCACGTCTGACAGTACTGTTTCTTTTTCACGTTAAAGAGCTAAAAATGGGGACTTCTGTTTTAACTGGGGTGCTGTATGTTATTCCTCCTAGCGTAATCCCTTTCCTCTTAATGACTCCTGTGTTTGGTGTCGGCAACCACTATGAATGTTATAAGAACTTCACCGTAAAACACAAGTAAGTCTATTGTACCACGTTTCAGTGGGTAAATTCTACTCGTGCTGGCCACTTTTGCTGCTCACTGTCTTTGAACATGAGACGAGAAGTCTTTATATATCTGTATGGGTGCGGTCAGACGGCGTGCTGAGAGCGGGTTAAACTGCTCCGGTTCTGACCTGATTATATTTGATCTGGATAATCGCAATCACACTTACCTCCCTTATCCCGCCTCACGTTGCTCCATGGCGTCTACACTACCGACGTGCAGGAACGTGTGTCAGTGGGTTTTTAAATTTTTTTCTCAGTTTGCGCATGCGCATAGACGCTCATCCGTAGAATGGGGGGGCAAAACTACCATGGCGCACGCGCAGAACCACCAAGGCGAATCAATCCAACCCATCCAACAAAAGACTTCCCTTTAAACGTTTGACCCGAAAATGGCCTCCGCGAGATCCCGAACTCATCTAAACTCTAAAACAAGTGACCGTTTAAATGTCGGTTTACTAAACACGGTAGCGGAACTCCGCCTATGCGCGCACCACCAACGCATCAAAAAGTGGCGGGCGAAAAGCGGAAGCCTCGGGCAGCTTTCAAGCGGGGAGGGGGTTTAAACCGGACGTAGCCTGGAGGAGCGATCACACGGGGGGGAAATGCGGCTTTATACGGGAGAGCTGAGAAAACACCACTTTGGGACCTGGTAACAAAATACTCCGGGTTAAAGCGGTTTTGAGCCGGAAGCCAACGGCTGGGGACGGGAGGCAGATGTTGACTGTGTGATCGTGCAGATGCTGAACTGTCGCGGCACCAGATCAAACAGCACATCTGACCTGGGAAGCCCAGGTTACCTCAGTCTTGTCAGATCTTGGAAGCTAAGCAGAATCAGCCCTGCTTAAAACTTGGATGGGAGACCAACAAGGAAGTCCAGGGCCGCTATGCAGAGGCAGGCAATGGCCAACCACCTCTGAACGTCTCTTGCCTTGAAAACTCTACAGAGTTGCCATCAGTCAACTGTGACTTAACGGCACTTTCCACCACCAAACGTCAAACGTCAAATACCTTTAATGGCATTGAAAAGTACTCAGAACGAAGAGTGATTTCAGCAAGAGTACTTTATTTAGTGAAGAACAAGACAAAGGAAACCAGCTCGCAGGCCGGTTTATATGCGTTCAGAAAACCCGCCACCAAGCACACCTAAACACACCCCCTACTCCCAATAGGCTATTTACAGTAACCGGGCAACCATTGGTCTCCCGGCTAGGAAGCTGGCCCTTTGATTGGGCCGGCTAGGATCCTTCGGATCCTTTGTCTTACGACTGAAGCTATGGAGAAATATTGCCTGGCCAGCCCGGGCAAGTCTGGGCATGTCCGGCTGAATGCATTACACGTGGTAATGGCGGCAGTACATTACAGGCATATTGAGAAAATACGTGACAGCATAAAACATGAGCAAGAAGGCATTACAGAGACAACAAAATAAGGCTGTTTGGTGCAGTGGTTAAGTGCGCGGACTCTAATCTGGGAGAACCGGGTTTGATTCCCCACTCCTCCACTTGCACCCACTGGATGACCTTGGGCAAGCCATAGTTCCATCAGAACTGTTCTTGAAAAAGAGCCATTTCTGTCAGAGCTCTCTCAGCCCCGCCTACCTCGCAGGGTATCAGTTGTGGGGAGGGGAAGGGGAAGGAGTTTGTAAGCCACTCTGAGACACCTTTGGGTAGTGAAGGACGGGGCATAAATCCAATCTCTTCTTCTTCTTCATACAGAGAGCTTGTGTCTATCTTTAACCGCTTCAGCCAAGAACTTAGCAACTAGAGCTGTAATGTCCAGATTTGCGTCAGTTAGTAGACATTGTATTATTCTGTCATTAATACAGTGTTTAGGGAATAGTGGAGAGGAAAGGGGTTTCTTACGTGAGCCTGTTTGCAACTGACAGTCTGATATGGTGGACTGAATCTCTCAAGTTTTAAAAGGCAAACACATTGCCTTTCATGGGATTATTTATTTATTCGTTTATTTAAATTTCTTACCCCGCCCTCCCCACGAATGGGCTCAGGTCAGCTAACAAATGGGGCACCGAGTGCCAATACGTAAAACCAATTAAAACTGGATAAAACAGAATAAATAACCAAACATTACATAAAGCGCTCAGTGCTGTTACTCTTAAATTTAAACAAGATGGTATCGAATAGATGTTGCCTCCATCCCAGTACAACGGTACCGATCCGTCGTGGCACTGAAGTGCGATCGTCCTAGGGCCGCTCCGTTCCCAGTTATCAGCCGGGTTCGTTGGTCGTGGTGGCAGTGGCGGCTCCTAATCGAAAGCCTGGCGGAAGAGCTCCGTCTTGCAGGCCCTGCGGAACTATACAAGGAAAGGGACTTTGTTATACCGACCATATCTGTAATGTATTGAAATGATTACATGAATCACCTCATAGGACTCCCCTGTTAAGCTTCGAGCCAGACCAGGGCTCCTCTGAGCGAACTTCCTATTGGTCGCTTCGTAACAGCGACCAATCAGAACGATACCATTCCCTAGGAGGGAAAGACTCCCATTGGTCTTTATTCTAGCAATCTCATTGGTTGTTAATTGTAAATAGGCGTGGCTACATTAGCCCGGTTATGTTTAAAAGGAGCATAAGCTCCCACTGTTTTCTGTTCTGGTTTCTTACTGAGTTAGTGCTTGCTCGTTACTTCCAATAAAGCTGAATCACTTGCTGAATCACTCTAAGAGTCCTTTGTTAGCGCGATCTAACAATTGGCGACGAAGGTGGGATGTTAGAGCAGGTAGGCAGCCCTGCGGACATCCACACTTCGGACTCGGAAGAAAGCGGGCAGAGCACAGCAGCCGATCCGGCGGAGGCGCCACCAGCTCCGGTGCCCAAGTCTCCCACGATGGCTGGAAGCCAGAAGTTCGAGTGCTTCGAACCCTCCTCAGAAGACTGGGACTCCTACCTATCCAGGTTCGAGTTCCATCTGGAAACCCACGACATCACCGATGAGGCGAAGAAACGAGCATGCCTCCTGAGTTCCTGCGGGAAGGGGACCTTCGACATAGCCAGGTCGTTGGTGGCCCCAACTGATATAAAGACTGTCACCTACGCTGACATCACGGAGAAGCTTAAGGCTCACTATTCTCCACAACCGTCGGAGATCGCCTGCCGGCACGCTTTTTACAAGCGGAACCAGGCCGGAGGCGAGACCATCGCAGATTTCGTGGCGGCCCTTCGCAAAGCCGCACGGCCATGTAATTTCCACAACGTGGAGGAAGCCCTCAGAGACCGTCTCGTCTGCGGTCTCAAAGATGAAAGGCTGCAACAGAGGCTGTTCGCCCGCACCACCCTGACCTGGGCAGTGGCCTACGAAGAGGCCGTGGCCGCGGAAGCAGCGGAGAAGTCCACGAAGGAGGTCCGCCAGCGGGTGGCAGAGCCCAGTATACACGCTCAACGAGACAGCGAGGGCGAAGACGCGGATGATGACGTCAACGCGGTTCGAGGCAAGCGGACCCCAGCGAAGACTACCAACGTCAAGCCTTGCTCCGGTTGTGGCGGGAAACACCAGCGCGACTCCTGTTGGGCTCGTGATGTCGACTGCAGAGCGTGTGGGCGGCGTGGTCATCTGGCCAGAGTCTGCAGATCAGCGAAGAAGGATCCCTCAACTAACAACCGGTCAGCGCAGAGGGGCACTCCAGTCAGCACCCAAGGCAAGACCCGTTCCTCAGCATCGGAAGCAAGCTGCCAGTTGACGGCGACCTTGTCGAGCGCATCGGCCGTAAATCGCACCAGCAGCCAGGGCAAGATCACCGTGACTCCACTCCTCGACGGCCGACCCTGTACAATGGAGGTGGACTCAGGATCGTCCGTGACGGTGATTTCTGCCGCGTCCTGGCGCCAGTTGTTCCCGAACCGAAGCCGGCGGCGGCTCCAGCCTGCGGGAACCAGAGTGTCCGACTTCCAGGGCAACCGAATTCCCTTGGCCGGACGGGACTCTGTTACTGTTGAGTATAAGGGGAAATGTGTTAAACTGTCATTCCTGATTGCAGAGGGAGACCGGGTTAACCTGCTAGGGTTAGATTGGTTTGAGCCATTGGGCATTGGTATTTCTGGGATTAACAGGATGTCTGAAAATAAATGGGGCATGCTGTACGACCTGTTCCCTGATGTATTTGCCGAAGGGTTGGGGAGGTACAAGGGCCCCCCGGTTGCGTTTGACTTAGATCCGTCAGTCAAACCTATTAGGTTGAAGTATCGGAAAGTACCTGTGTCTCTCAAACATAAGGTGGAAAAAGAGATTGACAAACTAGTTGAGCAAGGGGTTTTAGAGCCAGTACCATACAGCAAATGGGAGACCCCGATCGTAACCCCTGTCAAATCAGATGGGTCCATACGACTATGCGCCGATTACAAATGTACGATTAACAAGGCGCTGCAGCAACATTCGTACCCGGTCCCGGTAATAAGCCACATTTTGGCTTCCCTGGGGGGTGGCAAGATTTTCGCCAAATTTGACCTGGCCCAGGCATACCAGCAGTTGCCTGTCACCCCGGAGGCTGCCGAGGCCCAAACAATTGTAACCCACCAAGGGGCTTTTAAAGTGAACAGGCTGCAATTCGGGGTCAACGTAGCACCTGGGATTTTTCAGGGCCTCATGGAACGTCTACTAAGGGGGGTACCTGGCACAGTGCCCTATTTTGACGACGTGCTGATTGCGGGCGGGTCTGAACAGGAACTACTGGACCGGGTTAAAGAGGTCCTCAGGCGTTTTCAAAATGCCGGTCTCAGAGTTAAGCGCTCAAAATGCACGCTCGGGGTGGAAAGTGTGGACTTCCTGGGGTTTCGCATTGACGCAGAGGGAGTCCACCCCACGGATGAGAAGGTATCTGCAATCCAAAACGCCCCCAGGCCGGTGAGTAAGAAGGAGCTCCAATCCTTTTTAGGACTCCTGAATTTTTATCATGCGTTTTTACCGCATAAGGCATCAGTGGCGGCCCCTTTGCACGCGCTTTTGCACAAGGAGGCAAAATGGAAGTGGGGGCAGGCCGAGGAAAAGGCTTTTGTGGGAGTCAAGGAGCTGCTGACATCTAATGCCGTACTCACGCATTATGATGAACACAAGCTCCTGGTGTTAGCTGCTGACGCTTCACCTTTTGGAGTAGGCGCAGTTTTAAGCCATCTGATGCCTGATGGGAGCGAAGCGCCTATCGCTTTTTATTCTAGATCACTATCTGCGGCAGAGCGGAACTATGCCCAGATAGACAAGGAGGGTCTGGCGTTGGTAGCGGCTGTCAAAAAGTTCCATGATTTTATTTTTGGCAGACGATTTTTGCTGGTCACTGACCACAAGCCGCTACTGGGGATTTTTGCGCCCGATAAGCAATTGCCAAACATCATGTCCCCACGCATGCTTAGATGGGCGATATTTTTGCAGGCTTATGATTTTGACTTAGAGCACCGGCCTGGGAAAGCGATTGGGCATGCGGATGCCCTCAGCCGGTGCCCGGTGCCGGACATTGGCGCAGACCCTGCCCCCGCCTGTGAGGTCTTGGCAATTGAGGAGCTTCCTCGACCCCCGGTATCATCCAGGGACATTGCAGCACACACGGCCAAGGATAGCGTGCTGTCCCGAGTATTAAACTGGGTTTGGAGGGGGTGGCCGGTTGGAAGCGTTGAACCGGAGTTCGGCCCTTACAAAAGCCGTCAAAATGAACTATCCATTTCTAAGGGCTGTGTATTATGGGGGAACAGGGTGGTGGTTCCTGACAAACTCAGGACGAGAGTGTTAGAGTCGCTGCACGAGGGTCACCCCGGTATGGTACACACCAAAGCGTTGGCCAGAGGGTATGTCTGGTGGCCGGGGCTGGACAAAGAGATCGAAGAATGGGTACGAGGGTGTCCCAAATGCCAGCAAGTCAGACCCGATCCCCCACAAGCTACACCCCAAGGCTGGGAGTCATCTGGTAAACCCTGGGCCAGATTGCATATAGATTTTGCTGGCCCTCTCCAAGGGCAAATGTTCCTAATTGTGGTGGACGCTATGTCCAAATGGCTGGAGGTCGTGCATATGAAATCGACCACATCACTTGCTGTGATCCATGCGCTCCGCCGACTTTTTGCCACCCACGGGTTGCCTGACGTCATCGTCAGTGACAACGGGCCTCAATTTGTGTCTGAGGAATTTAGGCTCTTCCTCACGAGTAATGGCATACGCCAAATGACTTCGGCCCCTTTCCATCCGGCATCTAATGGCCAAGCCGAACGGATGGTCAGGACGGCCAAAGAGGCCCTGGGTAAAATGGACGAAGGGGACTGGAGCCAGAGGCTGGGCTCCTTTCTTTTGCTGCAGCACACCACCCCCTGTAGTGCTACAGGCCGTAGTCCGGCCGAATTGTTAATGGGGCGGAGACTCACGACCCGTTTGAACCGAATGCACCCAGACCTCACTGAAGAGCAATCCGAGCGTACCACGGCGCAACCGAAGGTGCGCATGTTTGAAAAAGGGGACAAGGTTTTCGCACGAAATTATGCAAACGGGCACTTATGGCTTCCTGGGGTTATATCCGACTCTGTGGGTACTCGAATGTATGTGGTGCAGTTAGCTGACGGTCGAATATGGCGGCGCCACATAGATCAGTTAAGGAGACGTTGGGCTAGGGACAGCGCTGACTCTCCGACGGCTGAATCCCCTGATGTCGAGTGGACACCCCCAGAGCAGGCGGTGAGTACCGAAAGGCCCGGTACTGTCCCCGAGTCAGGGCAGAACCCTGTGTGCGGGGCTGAAATCCCAGTCGAGTCTGTGCCTGATCCAGGCTGTAGTGAACCCCATTCTGACCCACAACCTTGTCTGCCCGTGGTGCCTGCACCGCTCCGCAGGTCCCAGCGTTCGCGGCAAATGCCGACTTATCTGAAGGACTATGAGTGTAAATACTGTTGGAATAACTGATGTACAAAGGCTGATTGCATGTTTGTAAATAATAAAACAATTGGGATAATGGCTTAACTTAGGGGGGAGGAATTGTAATGTATTGAAATGATTACATGAATCACCTCATAGGACTCCCCTGTTAAGCTTCGAGCCAGACCAGGGCTCCTCTGAGCGAACTTCCTATTGGTCGCTTCGTAACAGCGACCAATCAGAACGATACCATTCCCTAGGAGGGAAAGACTCCCATTGGTCTTTATTCTAGCAATCTCATTGGTTGTTATTTGTAAATAGGCGTGGCTACATTAGCCCGGTTATGTTTAAAAGGAGCATAAGCTCCCACTGTTTTCTGTTCTGGTTTCTTACTGAGTTAGTGCTTGTTCGTTACTTCAAATAAAGCTGAATCACTTGCTGAATCACTCTACGAGTCCTTTGTTAGCGCGATCTAACAATATCCATGTCTGCATCTGTGTCGGGCTGTCTTTGTGGGTGAAAGGTGTGTGTGTGGCATTCATCTGGTGTTGGTTTCAGCCCTCACCTGTGTTGGCTTCCTATGGAGTAAACGCCACCTCCCTTGTTGAGAATCTGAAGCCACAGCGTTGCCCGAGACACATCCGGAAATGGGAGTAACGAGAACACAGAATGTGGTCTTGAATTCTGCTCCCTGAGAAATCCCATTTTAAATCTAAGAAGGAAGATCCTAGCTCTCAGGCTGACATTGCCAACTAACCGCTTCCTGAGAGATCTGCGTTACCAAAAATCCATCCCAGTGGATTCCACTGTCTGATCTCAGCTTGGTCCAAACACAGACCCCCGTTCCATTTGGCCATTTGATTCCTGCACAAGAAGCATGGCGTAGTGGTTATGGTATGGGAGCAGGGCCTGGGAAGCCCGGGTTTGAATCTCCCACTCTGCCATGGGAGCTTGCTGGGTGACCTTGGGCCAGTCACACACTCTCAGCCTCACCTCCCTCCCAAGGTTCTTGTGAGGAGAAGAGAATGTTGTAAGCCACTTCGGGTCTCCATGGGGGAGAAGGGGGGGGTCTAAACAAAGTAAATAAATAAGTAAGCATGGGTGGAGAAACCAAGTGGGTAGCTGAGGAGAAGCCCTGCCCATCTAAGAGCCAGTTTGGTGTCGTGGTTAAGTGTGCGGACTCTAATCTGGGAGAACCGGGTTTGATTCCCCACTCCTCCACGTGCAGCCGCTGGGTGACCTTGGGTCACTTACAAGTTCCCTCAGAGCTGTTCTTGAAAAAGAGCAGTTTCCGTCAAGAGTTCTCTCAGCCTCACCCACCTCACAGGGTGTCTGTTGTGGGGAGGGGAAGGGAAAGGAGTCTGTAAGCCGCTCTGGGACTCCAAGTGAAGGGCAGGGTATAAATCCAATATCATCATCATCATCATCATCATCATCATCATCATCATCATCATCATCATCTTCTTCATCATCTTCTTCTTCTTCTTCTTCTTCTTCTTCTTCTTCTTCTTCTTCTTCTTCTTCCTGCTTGGAGGCTGCATTGGCAGAAGGCAAGAAGTCACCCAGACTTCCAGAACGGTCCCCTCTCTGGGTGTGGGTGGGACACCAGGGAGCGCCTTCTGGTTGGAGCTTTGGGGGCTTTACTATTGGCCGGGCAGGATACCAAACGGGGCAGATTCCTTTCTTTCAGGAATTGGGGCTGGGGGGAGTTGCCAGGCCAGAGCTGTGCCATCAGAGAGGGCCCGGGTTGGTGTCCAAGCACCTGAGCCAGAAAATCATTTGTTTTTATTCTGTTCTATTTGTTTTTATCCTCTTTTTATGTACCGGCATGCATGCCCTGACGCTAGCTGCCCTGAGCCCGTTCGTGGGGAGGGTGGCCTAGAAATTGAATAAATAAATAAATATAAATAAATAAATAAAATATCACCATGAGCTAAATACTTACCTACATTCTGCCTGCCTCCCCCCAGCCTAACATTAAGGCCTGTATTCCAGTCAGTCCCCTTCTGGTTTGCCCGGCGTCTGAGATTTCACATAGTCCAAATGGCCTTGCCCACCGCCTCCCCCCTTTCCCTCTTCTTGGACTCCAGGTGCCTGCTGATGCACACAGAGACACACCTGTTCTCCGCCAGTCACCAGCAATTCACCTGCTCGGTGATCTATTTCTACAGCATTGGAGTCTTCCTCCTCTTCTCTTTGGCCAGCTTCATCGCCATCCTGGTAAGAGATGGGACACACTTTGGGTTTTGTTTTGTTTTTTTGAGTGGTGCTCCCAGTAATAAAGGGGCCACAATGGTTCAGTGGTTAAGACGCTGAGCTGCAGCCCGGAAGGTCTGTAGCTCGGCAGTTCGAGACCCGAGTGCGGCGTGACAGAGTGAGCTCCCATCTCTGACTCCAGCTTCTGCCCACCTAGCAGTTCGAAAGTAAGAGATTGCAAGTAGATTAATAGATACCACTTTGGTGGGAAGGTAACAGCATTCCGTGCGCCTCGGCATTTAGTCATGCCGGCCACATGACCACGGAAACATCTTCGGACAGCGCTGGCTCTTCAGCTCAGAAATGGAGATGAGCACCGCCCCCTAGAGTTGGATTCGACTAGCTTTCAACCGTGGGAAACCTTTACCTTTACTACCCAGTAATAAGATTGTAGCAAGTAAGGATGGCACCATCTGATGTGGGATCTTGTGTGGGTCAGCTGGGTGGAACTGGGAGCAAGATCACTGGAGGGGTGGCAGCCACCACGGATTCCTCTCGGACCTGTGGAGTCACGGTTCTAAAAGAAAAAAAAAGTCTCATTCTTTAAATAGAAGTTGTTGTGTCAAAAAAATTATAATCTTTTAAAAAACCCTCTTATCTGGGGCAAAACAGTAATGTGTGTGGGGTGATACCCCACTGGCTCCATCCTGGCTACACATGCACCCCACTAACCTCAGCTACAGAAATCTGAAATGGTGTTTCGGTATTGCAGTATCAGAGGCAGTACTGCAATCTGAGAATGTTTCTTCTCCAACCTAGGTGGCTGCAACCGTGACTGGGGCTGACGGGGGAGAAGTCTCTTTATCATACCAGACATCATAAACCTTATTACATTTTTGTCCACTGTCCTTCCTCTAAGGAGCTGAGGGCAGTATACACCAGGGTTGCCAGCTCTGGGTTGGGAAGTACCTGGAGATTCGGAGGGCAGAGCCTGGGGAGGGCGGGGTTTGGGTAGGGGAGGGACCTCAGCAGGGGATAATAGCATAGAGTCCACCCTCCAAAGCAGCCATTTTCTCAAGGGGAACTGATCTTGGTCATCTGAAGATTAATTGTATTACCAGGAGATCTCCAGGTGCCACCTGGAAGTTGGCAACCCTAAGCACCCCGGAGGAATGGCCCAAGATTTTTGGCACCCTACATGAATTATGACTATTCCAATTCAATAGAGAGAAAAATGAGAAGTCTAGAATGAATTAGTGGGCATTCAAAATGAACAATGTAAAATAAAAATCAGTAAGCTCTTCAGAAGCCCTCCATGTTTCATCATGGCTGCTACAGAGAGCCAGTTTGGTGTAGTGGTTAAGTGCGCAGACTCTAATCTGGGAGAACCGGGTTTGATTCCCCACTCCTCCACTTGCACCTGGCTGGATGACCTTGGGCAAGTCATAGTTCTCTCACAGTTGTTCTTGAAAAAAAGAGCAGTTTCTGTCAGAGCTCTCTCAGCCCCACCTTCCTCACAGGGTGTCTATTGCGGGGAGAGGAAGGGAGAGGAGTTTGTAAGCCGCTCTGAGACACCTTTGAGTAGTGAAGGGCGCGGTATAAATCCAATCCCCTCTTCTTCTTCTTCTCTTCTACAGAAGACCAAAGTCAACAGATAGGGAAATTTTAGAAGCCATTTAACACCAGGCTTCCCTTCAAAGACAGCAGAGGAGGCTGTGCTTGCCTTTTTAGCATCCCTTGAATTCTGGAGAGCTAGGCAGTTGCCTCGGTTTGCCTAGTGGTCTGGCCAGCCCTGGGTTTATCCTGGTTGTCTTTGTAACAACCTTCTCAGATAAGTTGGGGGGGGGGTTGTGATGTCAGCCAGAAAGCTGCTTAGCTGATCAGGGATCTGAACTCAGAACTCCCCTTTCCAAGTTGGACGCCCCAGTCCACCACACCACAATACCACTGCTGAGGCTGTCCGGGGACATGTTTTGACAACTACTCTTTGTCCCCCCCCGTCCCCCCCAACACATTGTAGGTCCTGCTTATCCAAGCCAGAGGTTTGTACAAGAGATCTGTCAACTCGACAGGTTACTTGGGCGATCAGCAGTGGGCAATGATCAAGATGGTCGAGCAGCGCGTGGTTCTGTACCCCATAGTGTTTTTCTGCTGCTGGGGCCCAGGTAAGTCATGCCGGAGCTCTGTGGGGGGGGGGGAATGCTGGAACCAGTGTGTGTGTCAAATTCTGCATCTTGGATGAATTGGACCAACTAAAGCCTGTATCTGGCTTCTTTTGCATGATTTATTCAGAGGGGAAGTCCTGCTTAGTCCTTTTCCTCTGTGCTAGATGGAAACATGTGTGTTCTTTGCACTTTCCCACAATCTCATTTTCCTCGCTTGGGTGTTGCTGTTGTTTTGGAGCTTTTTCCCTTTTTTTAAGAAAAAAGATTTCTTTTGAACTTTTTGAGGAAATACAGAATAAAGAAAAGCGGTAAGGGAAAAGAATAAAAGGTAAAATTACATAGTATAAAGGGCATTTTTTGCAAATATAATGGACAATCCTTGATCTATATACTTGAATTTTTAGGAATATTATATGATGTAATAACTTTAAAACCCACTATAACAACCTGCTCAACATTCTACTATTTTCTCATAATATGTTAACCTATTTATCCTATCTTATCAATTTTATCGGTTATATGATAAACCATGAATAACCTCAAGAAATTTGTATATAACTTTAACATAACCGTTTGTTGTGATAAGAGTCATACAGAAGAAAACAGCTTTAATATTTCATACTGAAACTATCATATAAACCAAGGGTGTCGAACTCATTTGTTATGAGGGCCGGATTCTGACATAAATGAGGCCTTGTTGGGCCGGGCCATGTGTGTCATAAAATATAATGCCAGGTAGCGGAGATACAAACTTTATAAAGGACACAAACACAAAGGGTTTTTTTTTTACTTTAAAACATCCTTAAACCATTAGCACTCTTGCAATATTTTGTTTATTTAACAGTATCTGATAACTGACACCTCTTGCTCAAAATTGTTGCATCAAAATGTCTGTGCTGATGCAACCTTGAGTATGCTGTTCAGGTGTGCATCTGTAAGCTGCCAACCTACGATGACGCAGCAGCAGCAGAACTGGAAGAAAAAGGAGAAGACAGCCACTTCCACTGCGGGCCTGAGAAAAGCCCTCCGCTGGCCTGATCTGGCCCCTGGGCCGCATGTTTGACACCCCTGATATAAACCATTCAACTGCCTGATTACAAAGATTTTGGGTTTCCTCCCCTGTTCTGCATGTATTTTTCACCCTCTAGTGGTCGATTTGATATTATGTCAATTTATGTCCAGCATAAAAAACTGTAGTTTAAATCTACAGGGACGTAGACCGATATAATGTTGAATCGACCACTAAAGGAAAGAAAAAACATGCGGAACCGGGGGGGGGGGACCCCAGAAGCACCAGAAACGCAAACATGAAGAAAATGAGAATATGAAAAAGCCCTTTATCTTCGTTTTGTATAAAACTCCCTAGACCTCCTTAAGACCATACAATAGTAAGTTTAAAATAGGAAGCCCTTGCTGACAGGATCTTAAAACCTACAGATTCATGAAGGGAGCGAAGTGTGTGTGGGGGAGCTATGAGTGGAGGGAAAGAAAGCATGTCTTTACCTTCCTGAGGGTTAGAAACATATCTGTTGTTTTAAATGGGTTGCACAGAAGCATGGGATATCACGAGCAGTGCTCCCTCTAAGCTGTGGAGTCTTGTGAGCAAAAATTTTACTTGGTGAGCTGCTGGCATTAATTTGGCTCCTGCCAAATTAGTTTGCTCTGGAACCATCCTTCCTGAGCCAAGACAAAAATGTGTGAGCCAGAGGCTAAACAACTGTGAGCTAGCTCACACTGACTCCGCTTAGAGGGAACACTGATCACGAGCCATGTTTCAGCAAGTGAGACTCTCTAGTTCACCGTGGCCCACTTTAATTCCTTGCCGTCACCTCTTTTGGAAGGGAGATATACAGGCATCTCTTATTCTCAGTGTGTTTGCCCCTGCGAATTGGAGCTAGTTGAAACAATGGACCATGCACTTGCATTTATTAATTTATTAAAACATTTATTAGCCATGTTTCTACCCAATGGGAGCCGAAGGCAACTTACAAAGTAAATGATAAAATGCCAAAGAATACATAAAAAAAACACAAGTCAAAATCAATAATTTAAGACGGCCGGTAGGCAGAACTAATCAGTTTGGTATGAAAAAATATACAGATGCGTGCTAGATGCCCACAGAACAATACAATAACAAAAGAGACTAGAGTAAAGCCACAACATCATTTAGTTGGCAATAAAAAACAGCCACTAATTCCGTCATAGAAAAAATGCAAAGGTCAGTAAGATTTCACATAGCAGTCTGCTCCAGACAGTCTATATCCCTCTAACAGTCTTGTATTCTCAAGAGCAGTCTGCTCCAAATTCAATCAATCTGTGTCTCTCTTTCCAACACTTTTCCTGGATATCTAAGTGTTTCAGGCCTCCGCGTCTTTCCTCAGGAACAAATCCTATAGAGGAACCTTACATTCAGTCTTACATTCAAGTTGACATTTTCATTGATTTACTTTTCTGTTAATCTACTTGGGCAAGGTCTCCTCACTTATTTCCAAGCATTGTTTATCTCATGGCCCGTTTAGGGTTGCCAAACCCCCCCGGTTTGCCAGGGGTCCCCCGTTTTTGGGGGGGTTCTACCCGCTGCCAGCCAGATGGCCAGCGGTGGAAGCCCCGCCCCCAACACCCACAGCCACCCATCTCTCTCCCTTTAAGTGTGTGGAACCCGTGTTTCCTCCCAAGCCCCATCTCCGCAAGCTTGCAGGGAAATGCCAGCTTCGAGCTATAAAAAGGGAAACGTGGCTGTTCTTAAAGGGGAAACGCCGGCTCCTGCATTTAAAAGGGAAATGCCGGCTCCTCTAAGTGCAGGGAACCGCCGTTTCTGGAGATCCTGCGCACAGGCGGCGGGGGGGCCGCGGACGCCCCCAACGTGACGTCATCACGTCAGGGATGCCCTGCCTCCTCCAGGAACGCCCCCAAAGTCCCCCACTGGGGGTGGAAGATGGACTTGGCAACCCTAGACCCATTATGCCAATAGGGTGACTTTTTCCGAGTCAGATAAGGAGAGAACTATTCAGTTGCCATCATGAATAAAACTGCCTTCAGCTGTCTCCTAAAGATCAAAAGTTAGGGGCCAAGCACACCTCTCTGGACAGGTCGTTCCATAATCGTGGGGCTACCACCAGAAAGGCCCTCTGTCATGTACCCACTGCATGAGCTTCTGCGTTGGGTGGGAAAATCAGGAGGGCCTCTCCCTGTGATCTCAGGACCCGGGCAGGAATATATGGGATGGCCCTTCAGATTGCATTGTCTTTTGTCTAATCTCATCAAATTTTCCAGGCAGACTTGGTGAATTTTATACAGCCAGTTTGATGTAGTGGTGTGCAGACTCTAATCTGGGAGAACCGGGTTTGATTCCCCACTCCTCCACTCGCAGCTGCTGGATGACCTTGGGCAAGCCATAGTTCTCTCAGAGCTGTTCTTGAAAAAGAGCAGTTTCTGTCAAGAGCTCTCTCAGCCCCACCCACCTCACAGGGTGTCTGTTGTGGGGAGGGGAAGGGAAAGGAGTTTGTAAGCCGCTCTGAGACTCCCTTGGGTAGTGATCTATCAGCATAGCAAATAAAGATTGATTGACTGATTTTCCAGCAAGTCGGGAGAGCCAGAGAAATATATTTTTAAACTCTCCCCTGTGTCCCCCCCCCCTTCTTCTTCTTTCCACAGCCTTTATCCTTGGAATAGTCAAACTGACCAATTTGGAAAACACAAACAGCCTATATATGGCTCTTAATGTTTTAGAGGTAAGTATTATGCAGTAATACACAGATACACCTCAGGGCTAAAGTCTTTAAATGAATTTATTTGACTCTTTTCATTCACGTAAGCTTCGTGGGACAGCAGCGATCCTGAGAGTTTTGTTCCCCACATCCAGGAACTGCCCCCAAAGCAGGAGAAAAGAGCAAGAGTCCAGGAGCACATTAAGGTAAAGGTGAAGGTTCCCTTGCTCGAAAGCCAGTCGAGTCCGACTCTAGGGTTGTGGTGCTGATCTCCGTTTCAAAGCCGAAGAGCCAGCGCTGTCCGAAGACATTTCCGTGGTCATGTGGCCGGCATGACTAAACACCAAGGCGCACGGAACGCTGTTACCTTCCCACCAAAGGAGGTACCTATTTATCTACTTGCAATTTCTTGCTTTCGAACTGCTAGGTTGGCAGGAGCTGGAACTAGAGATGGGAGCTCACTCCGTCATGCAGCACCCGGGTCTCGAACTGCTGAACTACAGACCTTCCACAGCCTGCAGTTCAGCATCTTAACCACTTGAGCCACCGCAGCACTGTAAAGTCCACCAAAATGTGTGGTAGGGCAGGAGCTTTCATGAGTCACCGCTTGCTTCTTTGGTATTTTTCAGATACTGAAGAGGTGAGCCGTGACTCACGAAAGCTGCCACAAAATTTGGTGGTCTTTAAGGAGCTCCTGGACTCTTGCTCTTTTCTCCTGCTACCAGTCGACTAACACAGCTACCCATCTTGATCTGCCCCCAAAGGTTGCTTTGTGGCTTCATTAAAGTTTGAGACTTGTGATGAAATAGGATTAGGACATACCGCCACCTGATGCACAGCTCATGTACAAGTGAGCGCTCCCGGCTTGTGATCTCCTAGCTTGGCAGCGAAGATGCTGTGTGGTCACATGGCCATTCTTGGGCAGAACAGAACCAGTGGGGTCGCAGCACACACCCCTCCAAGGGCAGCCCTGGTTTGCCTCACCGAAGGGTTTAAAAACAAAACAGGTTTCAAAATTTGTGATGTATCAGCTTAACGTAAGAACTTCAGAGAAGCCAATGTTGGATCAGGCCAATGGCCCATCCAGTCCAACACTCTGTGTCACACAATGGCCAAAAATACCAGGTTCCATCGGGAGGTCCAGCAGTGGGGCCAGGACACCAGAAGCCCTCCCACTGTTGCTCCCCCCCCCCCCGAGCACCAAGAATACAGAGCTTCCCTTGCCCCAGACCAAGAGTTCCTATCTATGCCTTGTGGCTCATAGCCACTGATGGACCTCTGCTCCATATGCTTATCTAACTCCCTCTTAAAGCCGTCCATGCTTGTAGCCGCCGCCACCTCCTGTGGCAGGGAATTCCATGCGTTAACATAAGAACATAAGAGACGCCAATGTTGGATCAGGCCAAAGGCCCATCCAGTCCAACACTCTGTGTCACACAGTGGCCAGAAATACCAGGTAATGGCCCATCTAGTCCAACACTCTGTCACACAGTGGCCAAAAATAGCAGGTGCCATCAGGAACTCCAGCAGTGGGGCCAGGACAGTAGAAGCCCTCCCACTGTTGTCCCCCCCAAGTACCAAGAATGCAGAGCATCCCTTGCCCCAGACATAAGAACATAAGAGAAGCCAATGTTGGATCAGGCCTGTGGCCCATCCAGTCCAACACCCTGGTTCACATAGGGGCCAGAAATACCAGGGGCCCTCAGGAGGTCCAGCAGTGGGGCCAGAACTCCAGAAACCCTCCCACTGTTGCCCCCCCCCCAAGCGCCAAGAATACAGAGCATCCCTTGCCCCAGACCGAGAGTTCCTATCTATCCCTTCTGGCTAATAGCCACTGATGGACCTCTGCTCCATAGGCTTATCCAATTCCCTCTTGACGCTGTCCATGCTTGTAGCCGCCACCACCACCTGTGGCAGTGAATTCCATGTGTTTATCCCTCTTTGGGTGAAGAAGGATTTCCTTGTATCCGTTCTAACCCGACTACTCAGCAATTTCGTGGAGTGGTAGGCACTCCATGAAATTGCTGAGTAGTCGGGTTAGAACGGAGTTCTTGTATTGAACTTCCATGTACAGAATGCCAAGAGTCTTTTTCAAATACAAGTCGTTCTAGTTAACTGAAGGGGTAGGGACAGCTGGTATCACCCCCCCCCCCCAAATGGTGTTTTGTCTGTGTCTGTGCTTGCATGCATGCCTGCGGGTGAAAGTCATGATGACTTCTAGCGACCCCTAGTGGAGTTTGGACGTTTCAGAGAGACAGCTTGATTGCCCGTCTCTGCATCCTGAGCCCTGCTATTCCTTTGGATGTCTCCCTTCCAGTTACTTGCCAGGGTCGGCCCTGCTTAGCGTCCAAGATCTGAGAAGATCATAGAATCATAGAGTTGGAAGGGACCCCCAGTCCAAGTCCCCTGCACAATGCAGGAAATTCACAAATTCACACACACCCCCGCCAGTGACCCCTCTTCAATTCCCAGAAGATGGCAAAAAAAAAACCCTTCCGGGATCCCTGACCAAACTGGCCTGGAGGAAAATGCCTTCCTGACCCCAAAGTGGCAACCAGCATTTCCCTGGGCGTGTCAGAAAGGGCCACGAGAACTAAGCACTGAGGCAACCCTTCCTGCCCTCCCTTCTCACGATCTGCCTGAGTTCACAGAATCCGCATTGCTGTCAGATGGCCCATCGAGCCTCTGCTTGAAAACCTCCCAAGAAGGGGAGCCCACCGCCTCCCGAGGAAGCCTGTTAACTGTCAGGAGGTTCTTCCTAATGTTTAGCCGAAAACTCTTCTGGTTTAATTCCAACCCGACCTTCTGGGGCAACAGAAAACAGCTCCGGGCTTGCCTGGCCTCTCCGGGTCGGGGCCTCCAAATGTTGCAGCAGTTCACACGTGACCCATTCAGCTCTAGCATTACCAACCTCCAGGTGGCGGCTGGAGATCTCCTGCGATCACAACTGACCTCCAGGCGAGAGAGATCCATTCCCCTGGAGAGTACGGCCACTCGGGAAGGTGGACTCTGTGGCCTGACGCCCCCCTTGAAGCCCCCCACTCCCCCCAACCCAGCCGCTCACTCTGTTCTGTGCTTCCCCTCCCCCAGGCCCACACGGCCTCCTCCCCGGGCCTGCTTGAAAGGCTGGACCCAGCACATGTTCCGCTGCATGAAACGCAAAGCCTGCAGAGACGTCGACACGCAGACGCCGCTGCTGCGCTCCCAGAAGAGGTTCTACGCCAGCACGCACCCCGTCAACACCCGAGATGCGGCCACATCCCCCACGTCCCCATCCACGGGGTTATAAGCAAAAGACACTTTGGAACCGAACCGCCAAGTCTCTCCGGCCCGCTCCTCCTGCTGCTGCTGCTGTAACCCTCGGCCCCTGCTCTCCTCCTTGCCGTGGGCTGTTGCCACCTGGCTCTGTCCCCCAGTGGCCCTGAGTTGGTGCATGGGTGATGCTGAAGCGGGCCACCAGGAGGCGCTGCAAGAAGCGGAGGCGTGACGTGGGGTTGACAGTCGGTCCTCCAGCCAGACCATCGACGCTTCGAAACTGGGTCAGGATGGAGATGAACTGTTTCTCCCTCTTTCCAGTTCGGTGTAGTGGTTAAGAGCGGCGGACTCTAATCTGGAGAACCGGGTTCTGTTCCCCACTCCTCCACGTGTAGCCAGCTGGGTGACCCTGGGTCAGTCACGGTTCACTCAGAGCTGTTCTCTCAAGAGCCGTTCTCGAGAGAGCTCTCTCAGCCCCGCCTATCGCACAGGGTGCCTGTTGTGGGGAGAGGAAGGGAAGTTGATTGTAAGCCGCTCCGAGACGCCTTTGGGTAGCGAAGGGTGAGGTATAAAAACCAACTCTTCTTCTTCTCCTCTCTCTTTCTGTTTTTGTTAATCAACAGTCGTTATTTATTTGATAAAAAAATATTGCAGTCTCTTTTAATCCTATAATAATTCCCCGGTGTGAATCTGTCTAGGAACCGCCAGGCCACTGAGCACTTTCCTGACAACCTGGGGGATTGGGGGAGCTTTTTTTGACCTCAGCAAAGGCTGAATATCATATCATTTCCTATTACCAGTAAAACAGACGAATGCATAGTTGTCAGTGAGCTTCCTCTACCTTAATACCAAGGGTGCAAGCAACACCGAACACCTTTGAGGATATAACTCTGGAGCATGGCTCGGGAGGACAGACTATAGATCTCTTCCCCTCCTAGCTAGAAGGAAGGAGGGAAGAGATAAACGCATCAACCTGCCTTCTCGGTCCGTCAAGGTCAATCTTGTCTACACAGACTGGCCGCCGTACTCCAGGGTCTCAGGCGGAGGTCCTTCACGTCACTTACTATCTAATCCTTTTAACTGGAGGTGCCAGGGATTGAATCCGGGACTTTCTGCATGCCAATCAGAGGCTCTGTTTCTGAGCCAGGCCTGCCATAATAAATGAACCTGCTTGAAATATCCAACAATAATGAACCAGATCACTGGTCCATCGAGGTTGGTAATCTCTACTCAGACTGGCAGATGGAGGTCTTTGACCTCACCCCCAACCTGGTCCTTTCTAACTGGAGATGCCGGGGATTGAACCTGGGGCCTCCTGCATGCCAAGCAGAGGCTCTTCCGCTGAGCCACAGCCCCTCCTTTACAGCTCTCCCGGGTCTCAGGCTGAGGTCTTTCACATCACCTACGGCCTGACCCTTTTAACTGGAGATGCCGGGGATTGAACCTGGGACCTCCTGCATGCCAAGCAGAGGCTCTGCCACTGAGCCACAGCCCTGCTTTAAAGCTCTCCAAGATCTCAGGCAGAGGTCTTTCCCATCACCTACGGCCTGGTCCTTTTAACTGGGGATGCCGGGGATTGAACCTGGGACCTTCTGCATGTCAAGCAGATGCTCTGCCACTGAGCCTTAGCCCTGCTTAAAAGCTCTCCAAGATCTCAGGCAGAGGTCCTTTTAACTGGAGATGCCGGGGATTGAACCTGGGACCTCCTGCATGCCACACAGAGGCTCTTCCGCTGAGCCACAGCCCTTCAACCCAGGATCCATCTTTTTACTAATGCATTTAAGTCTCTCCAGGCTGGTTCCAAGGAAATCTGGCTCCTCTTGTACAAACATTTGTGCCACCAAGCTATATACTGATAATTATGAATACTGTGACGCAGACTTAACCTGTGTTGGCTACTGCTTGCATCAGTTTCCAGCTGATTTTTGGTTAGGCATCCTCTGAAAGTTACAAAATCTCTACCTGCTGGAATTTGCGTGGACCTTGTGTGCCAATCAACAACTCTTCCTTGGAGCGCCTACGTACAAGGTGCCCCACAAGCGGGGGGGGAGGGGTATGTGAGAGAGCGGTAAGAGATTTCATTCACAGGGACCAAGATTCTCAGCAAGGTTTAAAGGCCTATTCTCGAATATATTTGAAATGAAGCTGCAAAAAAATAATAATCAAAAACACTGTGGCAATTACTTTGAATAAGGCCGTAAGAACACAAATAATACAGCCTTTCCTCCCCCACCCCCCCCAATTTTGTTTTTTAAGTAGAGGGATTTGTGATGCAGTCTTGACTGGACAGTAGCAAATGTCACACCAGTTTGTAAGAAGTGGTCCAATGGGAAGCCGGGAGCAGTTAGCCTAACATCTGTCTTGGGTAAATTAGTAGAAGCTGTTATTAGAGAGAGAATTAATAAGGACATTGAGGAAGAAGCCTGCTAAAGGAACGTCAGCCTGGCTTCTGCAAAGGGAAGTCCTGCCTCAGGACTTTGTGAGTCCACAAGCAGGTGGAAAAGGGCGATCTGGTAGGCATTATGTACTTGGACTTCCAAAAGTCTGTTGGGTAAATTCAGCAGTCATGGGATTAAAAACTGGTTAAATTTTTAAATGTTATTTATAATCCGCTTTTAACACTGAGACTGAAGGCTGATCGTATAGTGTAAGTCAGTGCAATCACTAGGGTGAGGAGACATTTAATAAAGTAAACAGGACCAGGCATTAATATTAAACATGACATGTTAAACATTGCAAGAAATGGTATTAGGTAAGTAAAAAAGCAATGGTGTGAGGGCAAGCTAAAACATACAGCAACCAATAATACATACTAGTAGTACAGTCCACAGTCAGAGAGCCAGTTTGGTGTAGCGGTTAGGAACACGGACTCTAATCTTGGAGAACTGGGTTTGAGTCCCCACTTCTCCACATGCAGCTGCTGGTGTGACCTTGGGTCAGTTACAAGTTCTCTCAGAGCCGTTCTCTCAAGAGCAGTTCTCAAGAGAGCTCTCTCAGCCCTACCTACCTCACAGGGTGTCTCTTGTGGGGAAGGGAAAGGGGTTGTAAGCTGCTCTGAGACTCCTTTGGGTAGCAAAGGGTGGGGTATAAATCCCATCCTCCTCCTTTAGAGAGTGGGAGCAAATGGACAGTTCTCTCAATGGAGGGACGTAAGCCCCGGGGTCCTACAAGGGTCACTAGTGGGACTCGTCCTATTTAATCTGTTCATAAATGATATGAAACTGGAAGCAAGCCACATAGTGGCCAAGTGCGCAGATGACACAAAATTATTCCAGACAGTATGAAACAAGGCAAATTGTGAAGACAAGACTTATAAGAGGATCTCTCTAAATTGGGTGAGTGAGCAGCAACATGGCCAAGGGAGTTGAATGTTGATAAGTGTACAGTGATGCATACTGGAGCAAAATAAATCCTGATTTTAAGTATATGCTGATGGGGTCTGAACTGGCTGAGATGGAGCCTGAAAGATCTTGGGGTCGCAGTGGATAGCTCAATGAAAATGTCAACCCAGGTGTTCCTCAGTGGTGAAAAAGGCAAACTCTACTTTGGGGATTACCTTGGAAAGAGACTGAAAATATGGCAACCGATATTATAGTGCCTTTGGGTGTGGAATATTTTGGAATACTGTGTACAGTCCTGGTCGCTGTATCTCAGAAAGGATATTGCAGAGCTGGGGAAAGTACCAAGGAAGGCAGCCAAGGTGATTAGGGAAAGGCTGATGAGTCTCAGAGGAAAGTCGGCAAAGGGATGGGGGAAATGATAGAAGTTTATAAATTTGGGCATGAAGTGGACACGGAGCTTTTTCTCCCTGCCTGTGATACTCAAACTTGGGAGCACCCAATGAAGTTGACGGACGAGAAATTCAGGGGAACCAAAGGAAATACTAATTCACTCAAATCAGTCATTAAATTCTGGCACTCACTGCCAGTGGATGTAGTGATGGCCGGCACCAACAGCAGGGGCTTTAAAATGGGATTAGACAGATTCATAAAGGATAAGTCCAACCTTATCTCCTTTTTTGACAGAGTTACTAAAATGGTTGACTCTGGCAATGCTGTGTCTATTTCAGTAAAGCATTTGACAAAGTTTCTCATGATATCCTTGAGGATAAGCTGGTTACGTGTGGGCTGGATGGTGCAACCATTGGATGGATTCATGGTTGGTTGAAAAATCGTACCCAACGAGTGCTCGTAAATGGCTCTGTGTCTGCGTGGAGGGATGTCTCGAGTGGAGTGCCACAGGGCTCGGTCCTAGGCCCGGTGTTGTTCAATGTTTTTATAAATGACCTGGAGGAAGACATAGAGGGGATGCTTATCAGATTTGCAGATGATACGAAGCTGGGCGGGACTGCTAATTCTGAAGAAGACAGAGTCAGGATTCAAAAGGATCTAGATAGGCTGGAACAGTGGGCTGAGACAAATACAATTAATTTCAATCGGTAAAGGTAAAGGTTCCCTTGCTCGAAAGCCAGACAAGGGTTGCGGTGCTCATCTCCGTTTCAAAGCCGAAGAGCCAGCGCTGTCCGAAGATGTTTCCGTGGTCATGTGGCCAGCATGACTAAACACCAAGGTGCACAGAACGCTGTTACCTTCCCACTGAAGTGGTACCTGTTTATCTACTTGCAATTCCTTGCTTTCGAACTACTAAGTTGGCAGGAGCTGGAACTAGAGACGGGAGCTCACTCCGTCATGCAGTAACTCGGGTCTCGAACTGCTGAACTACTGACCATCCACAGCCTGCAGTTCAGTGTCTTAACCAATTGAGCCACCGCAGCTCAATATTTCAATAGAGATAAGTGCAAAGTCCTACACTTAGGTACAAAAAATCAAAGACACAGATATAGAATGGCTTGGCTTGACAGCAGCACATGTGAAAGGGATCTAGGTGTTCTGGTTGATCACAAGCTAAACATGAGGCTGCAGTGCGATGTGACTGCAAAGAAAGCGAATGCAATCTTAGGATGCATTAACAGAAGCATTGTGTCCAGATCACGGGAGGTGGTAGTTCCGCTCTATTCTGCTATGGTCAGGCCTCACCTGGAGTCCTGTGTCCAGTTTTGGGCACCACATTTTAGGAAGGATGTTGACAAGCTTGAGCGTGTCCAGAAGAGGGCGACCAGGAGGGTGAGAGGGTTGGAATCCAAGTCTTACGAGAAAAGGCTGAAAGAGCTGGGTATGTTTAGCCTGGGAAAGAGAAGGCTTAGAGGGGACATGATTGCAGTCTTCAAGTATCTGAAGGGCTGTCATGTAGAAGATGGA